CTTACTAATTTTGAACATAACTATTCCTATTTTTCATTCTATGGTCTAGACTTTGTATTGGAAGAAATGCTAATGCTGAATTGTGTGTCCACCTCTTTTGTGTTACTTCTGCTTCTAGAAAGCTCTTGCGTGTTCCATCTGTCTAGCAGAGAGTCTCACTTTGGTAATTTTTCTTGTACAGAAGCAATTCCATACCCTTGCTCATCATAGAAGTAAGACTGTGGATATGCATAGGAAACAAACAAAACAGTCTGAAAAGAGAGACTAAATAAAAAAGCATATGTGTGATTTTCACATTGAGTTAAGAATTAAAAATGTGTGAAAGTTAGATGGAAGGTTTTGCCACTTAAGAGATTTTTTCTTCTGAGCATATTATCGCTATTCAACAAAAGTAACAAATGATAATTACAGAGGTTAGGTATTGACAGCACAGTCAAAATTAAATATATACACCCAAGTTCAAGGTCTAAACTATCATTTAACAAAAACATTTTGTCTGTCAGTTGTTTCACCTGGTATTTCAGCTCATCCCTCTGCCCTTCCATTGCTTCTTCCCTGATTCCAGCTGGTGTCTGTTGTCTCTGTCAAGCTATACCAAGTGCAGTGCAGTTATCAGTCAGAGTGACAGTCATTCTTTTTGAGATGCTGAGAGTGTCCCAGAGTTTTCTGGAACTTCTCCAAAAATAACTCCAGCACTGTCATCCAAAGGGAAAACATTGGACAAGTCATGAGTGAAAGAAGGGATTCTGAATGCATGTCTTTGCTTGGGTCTCTTGGAGGGCCTCAGAGCAAGACTGCAGGGTATTCCCTGTTTTCATTCAATGACCTCAAGAATAAAAAATGGCTACTGCTTTCCCAGGTGGTCCCTGCCACAAGATAGGTGCTGAAGCATGAAAAATAAAGGCTCTCATAGAAAGATATATTCTTTCTCCAGATTGAAAATGAGAAATAGCTCTGTTTTGACTTTCTAGTAACTTTCAGTGTTCATGGCTGAGGAAAAGTCACTGTACTGCCACTTGTGCTGTATGTCCATCACTTGTTTTTTATCCTAGCTGGTAAGTTGCAATACTTCTAGCTAAGTCTTTGTGGGTTTTTCAGCCCTTTTTGCACTAGTTTTAATCAGAAATATTGCCAGACACCATGATTCCATAATGTTGATGTCTGAAATGCAAAAATAAGTGTTGATAGGTATTTTTAATAAGGAGAGTGGGAGGCCTCCAGTCTTTCAAAGACTTGTAATTAATTGTGCTTAACCTAAGGATGTACATATGTACCCTCTCCTGACATGTAAAATTAGAGTTGGTATCTGTCTGACAGCGTGTATGAACAAATATGGAAGAAAATGAAATGAGCTCAATGCTTGGCTGAAGGTCTAAAATATTATTTTAAAATGTACCCAGACAACAAGAAAGAGCATAATTAGTCATGTGTTTGACATGAAAAGTAAGGTGTTAGCAGTTTTCTTATTAGCTGATGCCTGTGCAAGTTTGGTTGACTGGTGGAGCAATTTCAAAATCAGCGTATTTCTTGTGGGGTGGCAATATGTTGCCAGTATAAAACCTATTGTGTTAGAGATAGTTAGCTCACAATTAAGGAAGAACTCAAAAGAGAGAAAAACCCTAGTATCTGTTAGATACAATGAAAAGTCAAGGTTCAAGTTACTTGTGTCTAATGTCAGCTCTTTTTTAGCACATACCAAGACAGGGCTCACAGGCCTCGTTTTACACCCACTCACTTGGATATGCTTGGCAGAGGCTGGAAATTATTGTGAAATGCTGAATTTTAACTCCCAAGGACTATCCACAATTAAAAAACAAACCAAAACATAGTTCAATATTTAGTGAGGTTGTACTCACTGATACCCTAAAATAGTCAAAGAGAGGATTAAGGATTAAATAAACCTTGTAAAACTGAGCAGTGACAGTTTACAAGAATGCTAAAATGACTGTTGCTGCCACCATCTGCTCCTTTAGGCACCCGTATTAAAGTCAGTCTTGACTTGCCTAATCCTATAGTATTTGTAACTGACTTTCAAGCTTTATCAAAGTGCAAGGCTGGTTTACTGAGGGATTGAATCACAGCTGCGTGGCAGAGGAGTCTGCATGGAGCAAGCAGTTGGAATTTTCCAGGAGGCAGTTTGATTTCCTGCTCTTATGTTAATTCCATGCTGCTGAGAAACATATACACATATTCCTTCAGATTTATTACATTGATAAAAACTGCCTGACCCCTTAAGCCCTGTGATGCAATGCCTATTATTTATGGTGTCTAGGTAATATGGCATAAATAGGTCTGAAAACATTCCTTGGCAGTATTTTTTTTTTACTGAATTGTTGAAATTTGCCATACAAGTTTTTTTTTTAAGGTCTAACACAGGGATTCCCAAAGAGCGTGCTACCAAAATAGCCTGCCTGCTCCTACCCAAAATGAGTGGTCCCAGGGTACAGGGAACAATGTACGTACAGGCCCACAGGCTTTAGAGGAAAGCAGGAAAAGCTGACATGCTGCCACTTTTTTTTTTTTTTAAGATGAAAATTTTTCTATCTAATATATCAAAAGTTTGGGAAAACAGTGATCTCTGTAGAGTTGCTGCTCAGAGCACAACAAAACATGAGTTGTGTGGAGTTTGTTTTTTTTCCCCCATTGTTGTGGTTTGAGAGCCCCCCCGCCCCTGGAGCTGAAAGATGGGTAGCTCCAGGGATGGAGCATTTTGAGAGGCATTTACTGATTTCTTTTTGCCTCTGTATTGTTCTTGGCTTCTGTAATACTGTTTCTGAGTTACTGTCATCCTAAATAATTTTTCCAAAGAGGGAAGTTATCTAAAAATGACAGTAGCATTTGAAAAATTAAGTAAGAAGCCAAAATAGGAGCATGGGTACATAGGCAATACCAATGGCAGATTAACTGCTGATGTCTAAAATGTTCCTGTCTATACTTTGATTGTTACTCACCTGTTATTTGGACTTACATTGTCAGAATGCCTTTGGGACAGTAAGAGAGCTATTTGTTGTTGTTTGAAACTCCCCAGGAACATCCCAAATAATAAGTTAGTAACACTCCAGACAAGAAAAGGCCACGAGAAACATGTGATGACAAGATTTCCGATACTTTCCAGCTTTTGGATCAAATGCACTGGTCAGGAGGCAAAGGCATGCTGTCACTGATGTCCTGTGCCAGGATGGGGCCCCTGTGTTGCATTCATTTCTCAAGATACGACAGTGATCCTAGAAACAAGCAATCTAAAGTTAGTTCTTAGGTCAGTGGTGAAATGGATCCTTACTTCTGAGTGTACGAACACCACTCTGTGACATCCATTAGTTGCTGAGCTAGTATAATAAGGTGCCTTCATGCTGTGAAATGTTTCAGTCATCTGGTCACTGTGCAGTCAAGATGGATTTATTTGCTTAGATGCAGCGTAACGAGCAGAAACAAGTGTAGAATGTGGGGAAGAAAAGGCAGGAGGCAAACATCCACTGGCAGCACTTCACACAAACACAGTGCTCTTTGGAGGTTTCTCATGCAGCTGCAATAGCTCTTTGGCTTCACTTTGACCTCTGTGTACGTAGCCTTAGAACAGGGTAAGTGGGTCATGTTAAAATAAATCACTGCTTTTCAACAGTGCTTCACAGGGCATTATATATCACTGTAGATATAAGACTATTAAATGTGTGCATCAACCTATGAAAATAGTTTTTCATCATAAGCTTAGTCTGGCGTGGAGCTTGGAGACCGTTATATATGAACCCCAAGGGACAAAATATTAGGTTCCAAGATTTTGGCTGCAAAATGGTAAGTCTAAGTCATCAGAATTTTAAGCTGTTTCAGTGACCAAAGTTATTTTTATTTTTGGAAGTAGATTAATGATGACACATCCCTACAGCCCTTGGCACGCAACCTCAGCTGTCGACATTCCTCACTGCCGCGCTACAAACGCATCCGATGCTCTTATATGGTCTCTTGGCTGGGCCTGTTGGCCTCGTAGCCTTTCAGTGGTTAAGGAGTTTGCGCCCACTTGCAGGTTAACTGGTCTCCTACAATACAATACACATACCAAGGAAACCTGAACTTGGAAGGTTTGTTGTTAGTTATACTCAAACATCCTTTGGAATTCCTTCTCAATAACGCGTTTTCCTGTGTAGCTATCTTTCCATCAGTACAGTTCCCTGCCTTTCCCTCTACAGGAACATCCAGGAATATTCCTTGTCACACTGTGGAGGTGCTACAAAGCAGCTACACCCCACATTTCAGCTGGCTGCTCAGAAAACTAGAGCAGCAGCACAGAACATTTTTTAAGTGGACAATTTCCTCTCAAGGAGAATAGCATGTTCTCCTTTATGTAACTCATATTTATGATTGTAAAACCAGCACTTCAAAACTTATTTCCAGCAAGAAAAATCCAGCTGGCTCACTTGCTGATTACTCAGTGTAAAATACCAGCACCTAACACTTACAGAGAAAACAGGATCAGGAAAAGAAGGGTTTGGGGATCCACTGTTCCTAACAGAAGAAAACTGATCTCTGAATCTTACACCATTTAGACATTGAAGGGGAAAAATTAATCAATAGTCTTCCACCTGTCCTTTGTGCAGGCTGCTGCAATTCACAGTATTGAATTGCACAGGTGTGACAAGATCAGTCTAAAGAAGTGACAGCGTGACTTGTCCTTTGCCTTTATTTACATAGCAACATTTCAACAAGACAGTGTTTCCTGGATCTCCACTCCGTTGTCTTTGTCACATGGCCACTGTTGGTGAAAACTTCCATGCATACTTGCAAACTACCTTCCAGAAATATCAGCTGTTGCTAGAACCTTGCAGGCATCCCATGAAGAAATACCTCAGCAGCCATTACTGAAGAACACCAAAATAGTTAAAAAACAAACTTTTGAAAAAAAAGGACCAGCTGTGGCAACCTGGAGTAGTGTAGCAGAGAACATAAGTCTGCGTAGAAGAAAACTTGAGGCTAAGTTCGTTGGCAGATAAAACACAAAACTGGGAAGATAATGGTTGAAAACTCCTTTTAATTAAGCCCAGAAGTGAAAGAAACCACCAAGGAATAAAAAAATAAAAAAATAATCAAAGTATATGCTAACTGTGTATACTCTGTCAACTTATTTACAAACCTAATGCCAGAGTATCTTCCAGAGCTGCCATACTGGGAACACAAGCAAGATTAAGTAACCAAGCCTTTGTGCTAACACATGAGAGACAAACCCACCTTACAGTATAAGCTGTCAGAGCCTTCACACACTCTTGTGCTGAAGTAAAACTCCTATTCCTTGTGGTCTTAAGTCATGTGATATAGCTCAGGACATGCTTTCTAGTCATCATTTTAAATGATAAACAGGCAAAATAAATTCTTCTTAGGCTTTCCAGCTTGCAGTAGCCAAGAGAGTGACGCACATAGGACATGGTCATATGAAGAACTAACAGAAAAACCTTCCCCCTTTCTTCGTATTTGAGACAACAGCATCAGCACAACCGGTTTTGAATGAATGACTGTGCTTGGTTAAAAGTCATCTTATCAATATAGCTGAGGAATATGTACGATCTTTTAAAAAGTGAGAGGAACTTAGCACATATAGGGTTTTACCAAGTAATCCTCTGCTCACATTCTCACATGCAAATACATTAGCTGCAGAACAATAAAGCTTTATATAGGTTTTGTGGCCATGTATTGCTGTTAATTAGTGCCAGCATGGATTCCTTCACACAAGCTTCCTTCAGCTGAAGGAAAAATATGCCTAATTCCCACTTATTGCCAGCATAAAGATTTAGCAAAGAGGAATGTACACTTTGACATGAAAATATTGCTATTCCATCAGTATTAAAAGAAAACAACAGCTGGGCATGATATCTGCTTAAGAATCATAGATGTTCTCTGCTGGCCATGAGGCAACTGTAACAGTCTTCCCTTACCACTTCTTTGGTTAACTACTTACACTAGTCAGATCCCACTTCAGAAACCTGAAAGACTTCTACAGCTACAGCTGCATTTTTAAAGATGCCAGCACATCCTGCTAGGAGCATTTCAGAACCCTGTGACACTGAACAAAACAGTATGAAAACGAGTTTTTCAACTTGACTTGCAACTGCAAGTAAAATACAATGAACACACCTGCATTTGTAAATGCACAATAGAAATGTCATTCTTCACAAAAGATTTTGAGGTATTTTATCTATATAGCAATCTTTATTTCAAAATGGCATTTATTACAAAAATGTAAAAATCCAGCTAAACCAGAAATATTGAGATTATTTTCCTGGAGTATCAACTCCAGGGATGTTCGTCCCCATTTCCTTTTCCTCACAATATTTTCCCCGCTTCCAGTCTGATTACACAGGTGCAAATATGCCTAAATGGCCTGGAATAGATAAATACATTGAGAAAGGCAAAAGCTGTAAAGCTAAATGCATGCAACAAGTTCTATCAGGAATAAACCCTTAAAAATAAACATGAGTGTAGAGATAATCTGCAGGTATCCATGGATTTGCTCAGTCATCCTTGTCTTTTGCTCCATGTTTCAGGATGCGTGTGAACTCGATGTAGTTGAAATTCCCCTTTTTGTCGATGGGTGCCTCTCTGTACAGCTCGTCCACCTCTTCATCCGTGAACCTGTCTCCCATTGTCGTCAGCAGCTCCCGCAGGTAGTCTTCCTGGATGAACCCTGGAAACAACACACGAAAACATAAGAAGGAGGAATTTTTACATTTATCTGCTAATACACGGGTGATAACTTCTTTCTTTGAATTCTTTCCTTCAATTAAAGACACCTACAGTCTTTGTTTGCCAAATGAAAACAAAGCCATTAAAGACTTTTACTAAAACTGCCAGCTAATTACAAGCATTCAATCCAATCACACATCTTGGTTTGCCAGGTCTCACTAGTTCAAGTAAAGGCCATTTTATGATTTCCCGGTGGTGTTCCAAAGAATATAAAAATTTGTCAGTATTCATGTTGGCCCTCTTTCCCAACAGCAGGGCTATACTCCCAGTAGTACCAAGAGCCTTCTAACAACTCTATATTTTAAAAATTACAAAGGGGATCCATTCATTTTGAACATTCCTAATGAAAATGATAAAAAAAAAAGTCATGGAACTTGACTACCTATGTTCAACAAGTGCATGAAACAGGGAAGTTTGAAATATTCCAAAAATTTCAAATTGATCTTAAATCAATGACAGAACTCAGGTTTACTAGACTGCAAAGAGTACGTTTTTGGCATTGCTTATTAAACAAGCAGCCTTGTATAACTTGTGATTGCTTCCGTCAGCACTCTTGTGAATCACACAAGATTTTTCTTGTATTCATTTTCTTCTCCCTTGAATTCAGCTTAACAGAGGGAAGGTGGATAAAAGTTGCTGACAGAAAACAAGTTCTTCATAAAAGCACAACAGCTTTGAAAACAAGGATTCCCCATATAAAGTTGCCCTGAAGCTGAATTTTAGGTTGGTAATAATTTAAGACCCTGGTTCCTCATCAACATCTTTTTTACTTTCTCCTGTCATGAACAACAGAACTGAACTGACAGAAATTTGGAATTTTTATAGAGATTGAAAAGGTAGAGTTACCTGATGAGGATACAGGCATGATTTTTAGTTTGCAGAAACTAGAAGTTTGAGAGTTAAAAAATTCTTCATGATTTCTATGTACACAAGTATTTACTGTTACAGAAGTAAGTAGAAGTAATACACGTGCACTGTTATTTTATCCACATACCTGTTGCTTCTTCATCAAAGCAAGCAAAAGCATTCCTGATTACA